GATTGATTGTATGTTGTTTTACGTTCCGTTTGAGAATTTTTCACTCATATAGAGATGTCACCATATACCAGTGAAGGGCTTCAAATTTAGACCTTTACTCGGCACTCAGGGCTATTGAACAGTGAGGGTTCTTTATCGTGCCAACGTCTACCATGACACGGGGCCTTGGTTTTTAAGGTCTCATCCGGACTCGCAACTTTCACTTCAAAGTGCTGAGCACTTGGCGAAGGAACAGTTGCTACCTATTTTTTATCGACTTGGGTCAGTCGCGGCAGTGATTCAAACACAGGATATTCCGATCCTGGAGCGAGCACTCTACTGACTGAGTTACAGTGACAGTTCACTTGAAAAGAAATCTGTTCCAAAAACTTTAACCTGGGACACCCAACACCCATGGTATTACATAAGCTTCCCCCAACTTTGTTGAGGTGAGCTAAAAATCTTCTTTGTATCTTTGTATACAAAATCTTTGTATGGAGTATCCACAGGTTAGTATAGATTCAAGTTTGTTCAAATCATGACCCCGGGGGGTAGAGTGAGTAATAAAAAATTTTACATATTAGGAATATATTGGAAAAATCTTTAAAAATATTAAGAACAGCAAACCCATGATTAGATACACCCTGGTATTTATATGGAAGCATGCTCAGATACTGTAGATTTAAAGGACCATATATGATATGAGTCAATTTTGCCCCCCCCCCCCCCAATCAACATTTAAGAATGTGATTAGGATATGTATAATTGTTTTTCATTTTGTAGAAGAGTTTATATTAGAAATATTTCCAATACAGTTTTTGCATTTAGATACACTTACAGGCTATAAATGATGTCAGAAATGAAGCTATTTTTGCAATCCAATCAAAACAAGACAAAAATGTGTCTTTTTCTTGATGTTTTTCTTATGGGAAACATAGAGCGCAGCTTTGAACATGCAAAAATTTTTTGTCAGTGATTAGTCTTGGATAGATACATCTTTGGTAAAAATATAAAGTTTGTTCAAATCTGCGCTCAGTATTTTCTGGAAGAAAAACTCTTTGAAAATAAGCAAGTTTAAATTTATACAATATATGCTAAAATGGCGGGAAAAGGTGAACTTCATGATGTCATCTTTCTAAATTAATGGCATTTTGATCAAATTGAAAATTACGAATAAAGGTCACATGTATAGCTGTGAAAGTAAAGCTATATATAAAGTAAAATTAAGATATTAATTTTAAGGGGCCATTTGAGATACTTATCATATATTGCTCTTTGTTCAAATGATGACCCCTGAGGGTAGAGTGGGGCCACAATGAGGGATCAAAATTTTACATAGGAATATATAGGAACAATCTTTAATATTCTTCTTATCTGGAACATTAGGGTCATGATATGCCAGCTTCCTCAAGAAATGCAGATTCTACTTTGGTCCAATTATGTTTAGGGAGGTAGAACTTGCAAAAAATCTTTAAAAATTATTTGCGGGGGGGGGGGGGGGGGGGGTCATATATTGCAAAATACAATGTTCCTTATTACCAGAGTGACTCTATTAACTATTGCCATCCGTTTTGATCCATCTTGTATTCAAACATTTTCAGCTTCTTCTCTTGAACCAATTTCCACCAATTTTGGCATATAGCATCTATGGGTAAAGTGAAGTGAAAGTTGCGGGTCCTTCGGATGAGACCTTAAAAACCGAGGCCCCGTGTCACGGCAGGCGTTGGCACGATAAAGATCCCTCACTGTTCAATGGCCCTGAGTGCCGAGTAAAGGTCAAAATTTGAAGCCCTTCACCGGTATATGGTGACGTCTCTAAATGAGTGAAAAATTCTCGAATGGGGCGTAAAACAACATACAATCAATCTATGGGTAAAGTATGGCTGAAATATTGCTGACTCGGCGTTAAACAATAAATAAATAATCAATCAATCAATCTATGGGTAAAGGGGAACAAAAATAATGAATTTAATGGCCCATGTCCCAGAGGGGTGGGGCTAAAACCATCAAAATTAGTATAATCTTTAAAAATCATTGTTACTTTTGGACATCAAGCAGTCAAACTGTTGGCATGATTGTAATAAGCATTGGGCATTCTAACTAAATTGTGAAATTCATGGCCCCTGTCAGAAGCTATTGTGGGGCTCCATAAATCATATAGTGAAAGTGCATACAATTTTTGAAAATCTTCTCCTCTGCTCCTGGGTATTAAGCAAACAGAGATCATAGTAATGTTATGATGAGCAAGAATGCCTCTTCCAAAATTGTGGATTTCATGGCCCCTTGGTCAGGGGTTCTGGTGTTAGGGTGGGGGCTCTATTGATTATCTAATGAAAATACATATAAATTCTTCGAAAATCCTCTCTACTCCTGGATGTTTAGCAGATAAAGTAAGTGTATGGTTATGATGAGCTGGAGTGCCTCTTTTAAAATTTTGAAATTTGTAGCCTAAGTGTTAGAGGGAAGGGGGGTCTATTGATTATATAGTGAAAAAACATATTTCCTTTGAAAATCATCTTCT